TGTTTGCATTTCAGTTCACAGACTTCGTTTTCTTTCATTTTGGTCCTTGTTCATTTATTTCTTTCAAATTACGCCATATCCATAGAATTGCCACCTAAATCAAAATATGAACATTACGAGCACATAAAATAAGGAAGGAAAAATATGCATTTTACATTCCTATCATGCCCTTCTATGAGGTTCCATGTTCACCTACAATGCAAGAACTACATAAGCTAATCCTCAGTAAGCAAAAATCATGTATGCCATGGGTATCGATCATAATGGTATCTGGCCCCATGCTATTTACTTTAAGCCTTATGCTGAGGATGTAACATGTCAAAATCAATTCGAAATAATTTCATTGAAATCATTCATTGGGCATTTGACCCACCTACTATGCATCAGATAGAACTCTGTACAATATCAATATCAATAATCAACAATCAAATGGCCAATATGACATCAACATCAGTGAGCGGACCATTCTCTTGTCACCACTAGAGGCCTATCCCCTAACTACCCTTATTATCATCATGGAAGTATCCCACACGGCAGCGCCAATAATCATAATATCACAAAGGCACAATCGAGTAGTCTACCCTCCTATGATCACTAAAGGCACATTCCCTCTCTACCTTTGTAACCAACCACAAAGTATCACCCGCGATACCAAAACATATCATATAAGCACGTCTCACATGCCTCGGTGCCCTAATAGTGGTCTATAAAATATTTTATGAGAAAAACTCAATTTTACAATTATGTTGTACATATGAGAAAAACTCAATTTTACAATTTTGTTGTACATGCTAGATTTTCAACCATGGACATATGTCATGAATGAAGATGAAAATGCTCGTGAATGACATACTTAATCAAAATCGATATCAATATATTCTAAAACCACATACTCAATGATCATAAGCATCATATGATATACATTGAGCTCCTTATCAAAGTTATGTAAAGATTCCAACATTACTATATCGCAAATTCTATATTCTTGCATCGTAGTTGCAAATGGATTTTTACTTACCTTTATGTCTTTGTGTGTGCACTACCACAGAGTGTAGATCGATTTTCTTTCTCGCTTAAAGTCGAAAAACCACATGTATTACCATTTAATATTAAACACAATTCTCAATTTATAACCTTAACACACATAATCTTGTACTACGTCCATTCATGCCACACTGATTTAGATAACATTATCATTTCAAGTTATCTATTGTATTGTAAACTAGTCCCATAACTCTCACTATTTCTCGAGTCCAATTATGAATATCAATGTCACCTAATTGTTGTCAACAACCTAGCATTCCCTAAAATCTATTTTCAAGCCCAAGAGATAATTAATGAATATGTAAAGGTTCAAACTACATTAAACACAAAAATGGACAGAACTTGTTTTCAAGTTTTAGTTGTTGTCATGTCACGTTTCATCCATCTTTTCACACCCTCAGTCACATTCATTCCTTCCCAAACTTTTAACACACTTATATAACATATATGTGAAGGTAAATATGTTATTAATTTACCACAAGTAGAATGTTTACAACCTGAAAATCAATCACTTTTTACCGAACACCAAATCAGGCAATTTCCCTATGACCGTTTTCAATTTCCATTGTATTAGCATACCACCAATCAAATTCTAGGCTATTAGAAATCCCTCCTATCATTCTGACTTTCGTATAAAGACATTTATATATATAGCTACAAGTTATCTCCTCTGTATTATCCAAAATCAAAGGTTAAATAGACAGAATCCAGCAACTATGCAATTTCTGTCCTCACTTGTTTTATTCAATATATCTCCAACAATTTTTCTCTCTTTTTTCCATAATAACATCCCAAACCCTAACTCCAACAAAATATCAAGCAATTTCAGGGGCTCAAGATATTGTAACACCTTCAAAAATATTGAAAATAACCTTCAAAACCATGAGCTAAACTCACCTATTTAGAAGTTCAGTTTTTAGCTTCTTGTTTCTACTTTGCTCTGTTTCCTTTGCTTTTTTCTTTCACCGGGGTCACTTGGAGATAACGTAAAAGGCTAAATACCATAGTATAAGGTATATATAGAGTCTTAAAAAGGGTTGGGATCGTGACTCTTGCTTAGGAATTAAGAAAATGTTGTAGGCAGCCAGCCAAGCATGACGTGTTAAGCAAAAGGTGGCTTCTTCCAACAATATTTGACTTTTCTCTTCCCCTATTTGGATCATATTGGCTTATAAGATATCAGCCCCGTTCTCCTACACCCAGTGGGTAGGAGAAACTTTACCCACTGCTTATGTGGCAAATGCCATATAAGCAGTGGTCAAAAATGAAATTCAAACCCCCTCCCCCAGCTTAATAAAATATTAGAAAAAATTATATGTTTCTTTAAATAGCAATAACTCGAGCTTAACTAGTTGGAAAATATTTTTTTTTTCGAGCCTAACATACTTTATTTAACATGGGCTTTAAAATGAGACCAATCTCGATATACTTTTGACATTTGTTGGCAAAAGATATATTTTGTTAGTCAAATCTTTTATCTGGAAAAATACAAAGTTATCATATTTGTTGATGAAGTCGAAGATCATGGCATGTGGTTCAATTAGCTTTACCATCAATCTTTTTGTGTTTAAGTTATTTTGCTATATAATCTATTGATGATAACGCGGTTCTTTTGCTATGTAATCTATTGACGATAAGAAAATTGGAAAAATCATGTTTTTTTTATTGTCCACTAGGGTTGAGTCAAATATTAAAGTATTTTTAAAGATGTCAAAAGTATATCGACATTGGTCTCATTTTAAAGTCCACGTTAAATAAAGTATGTTAGGCTCAAAAAACAAAAAATTTCAACTATTTAAGCTCGAGTTATCGCTATTTAAAGAAACATATAATTTTTTCTAATATTTTATTAATAAACTTACACATGAATAACCGGGTAACTATGCTGGGGGAGGGGGTTTGAATTTCATTTTTGACCACTGCTTATGTGGCAAATGCCACATAAGCAGTGGGTAAAGTTTCTCCTACCCACTGGGGGTAGGAGAACGGGGCTGTATAAGATATATATCTATCCTATATGAAGTACTAAGGGGTTAGGAGACGTGATGGAAGCTTTAAGGTTAAAGGAATTGAAGGTTAAAATGACAAGTCACCAAGCATGAGGTGTTTTTTGTAGTAAAAATCTGATTTTACACCCATCATTGCAGTAGAAAACCAACAGTATATGGCCTATCTTAGTGTGTCTACAACCTATTTAATTGCCATAGGATCCTTCAATAATTTATAGAGTTAATTCCTTAACCGTTTATTCAATTCCTAACTCGATTGGCACCCGATTCTCAACCGATTTCAACAATTTGCGCCTCAATATTTATAATGTCACATAAACCTTACATTATTGTATTGTGATCATGTTATTTCATGTTCATGTCCCAAATATATTAAAAACTTAGTTAGGGGTTTAGGGCAACCACAATTAAGCGAAATAAAAGCAAATAACTTTACCGATAACGTTTCCGCCCCTTTCAAGGTCACAATCGTTTATCACATCAATATCCAACATTTAGATTAACCTAAATTTCTACCATAGCTCAATGCAAGATTCACCACCTAGGTCGGGTCGTCGAAGACTAACACCATACAGAGATCTTAAACTTTAATAACCCAATGCACCATTATAAGAGAGAACTATTTCAAACTATTGATGCAAATGCAATGGCTATGTAAATAATTAAAAAGTGATATATGAATCATATTTGCTGAGTGTGTAAAGTGAAGTTTGGGGTATTATATTTATTTATTTGTCAAATAGTTGTAAATAAATTGTAAATATCGAAAATTTAATTGTTTTTTTATCTGTCAAATAATTGTAAATATTGCAAACAAATTGAAAATATCGAAAATTTAATTGTTTATTTATTTGTCAAATAATTGTAAATATTGTAAACAAATTCTAAATATCGAAAATTTAATTGTTTATTTATTTGTCAAATAATTGTAAATATTGTTCAATTATCAGCGAAACCATCACACATTGATTTACTTGTCATTTAGGAAAATTTGACTTGTACAAAATTGGCGAGTATGCACTACGCGGTTGAGGAAACTTTTTGGTAGATGGTATTCTAGATGTATGTGAACATTCAGGATCACACAGTTCAACTTCAGGTGGCAACAACTATTAAGTGGGAAAATATGGTCGAAACATCCCACTCGACTTCATTCGGTAAAGCAAATATAGTCTCAGCGTATGCTGCTATCCAATAATCAGCCGTGTAATAATGAGAGTATAAGGTTCTCGCTGCAAAGCCTCTAAACATAGCCACCGTGACTGTATACTCACATGAAAAACTCTCCAACTGAAATCGATGACAAGTGCAGGTATTACCGTCAGTCCACCATGTATGCCATATTACGTGGACATTTCATAGAGAAGCACAACTCATCTAGTGGTTCCATATTCAACTTTCTCGCAACCTCTGTCGTTTTGAAAAGTTTATCCTCCTAAGCCAGGAGTGGCATGCTCGTACAACTCTGTGATTCCGTACGTCAATCGTGAAACCATTGTTGTAGTTTGTTACGAATGTTTTCAATCATTGCGATGATAGGTAAATCTCGATTATTCTTGAACAATGTATTGATAGACACCGCATTATTAGACGTCTCATGTTGTATCGACGTCCTGAAAAATGTGATCTTGCTCAATGTTCAATTCCCATTTTCGTTAGATAACCGGAAGTGATTTACTTCCTATTTTCCCCATGAATTTATTACGCCCTTTAACACTATAATATTCGGCCGCTCTCCTGAATAATAAAACGATGCATCTGCCTCGATACTTAGTCTTCAAGTTGCATTGTATATGGTATATGCAATACTTAGGATGTGCCTCGAGAAAAACTTCAGCGATACTATTTATTATAGATGGTCCCCAATCAGTTACAAAGGCAATGCCATCGACTTCCCTTAGCTTTGTGAAGAACCAAAGCATTGACAGATTATTCTTGCTATCGACTATGCCGAATGCAAGAGGGTAAATTTGGATGTTGGCATCATGACATGTAGTAATAATTAACTTACCTCCGTATCTAGCTTTCAGAATTGTATCGTCGACTAAAATTAGGGGTCGCATCTCATTTCGAAATCTCTAAATGCATTGTACAAGAGTCATGAAAAAAAACTTAAAGCAAATCTTGCCCTCTGTCTTAATAAAAAATACAGAGCCATGATTAGCTGTACCCATGGTACGGCAATACATGGCCAATTCAGCATAGCTCTCCTTGGTGCCCATTAAATCCTCCAACGCGCATTATTTGGCCTTCCAAGCCTTCAGTAGCTCATGACCACTTCGTATTTTTGATGAACGTCATTAATGATGTCCAAAGATCAGTAGATCGTCCGTGAGGGAACCACAACCATATCTACATGACAAAACATAATTTTTGATTATAAAAAAAAAATAGTCGAAAAATCAGCCAAACCATTTTTAAAAAAAATATAACTTAGCCGTAACCGCTGGCTGTTAATAGTTGTTAACAGCTAGCCATTAACAAAACAACCGTTAATAGTCGGACGTCGATTGTTCAGCTGTTAACAGCCTATCGTAAGAGTGGGCTGTTACGGTCGACTGATAATATCAACAACTAGTTGTTACAATGATCATGATATGCAAATGAATTTTTTTCTTGTTTATACTTCAACTTATAAATCTGTTAAACACATTTATCTACATGTTAATCTGTGTCGAAATAAGATTTATCGATTTTATACTAATTTAGCGAAAACGAAATTAAACATACTATACTTATCGATTTGAAACGATAGATGTAAAAAAAAAAAAAAAAAATCTTGTTTAGTGCTTGATCAATTTTTATGATTTTGAAGTTGAAGCAAATGAAAAATGAGAGAATTTTTAACTGTGTTTGAATAAACAGATAAGAACAGTTAGCTGATTTTGAAATTTTGCGTGAAAAGTGTTTGATTTTTATTTATTAACTAAAATTGTAGTATTGTCTTTTAGTTAAAAATAATTTTTTATAATTGTATTATTTATTTAAAATATTTTTGTCTATTACAATTGAAAAAGACACCATAGAAATATGCCATTATTAAAAGGAAAATGTCATGGGTTCATAAGTGTACCCATAGGGGACACCCGGCGCAGCACAACCTATTAAAAATTCAAAGGGAACATACGGGTTTGACCATTCCATTTTTGAAAGTACCCTCGATGCCCTCTCTCAAATTCTTTTCAGTATTGTCGTCTTTGTGGCTCTCTCTAGCTCTCTCTCTCTCTCTCTCTCTCGCTTAATCTTTTTTCCTCATTTCTCGATTCAATCACCCGCTGTAAGTTCTTGCCCCTCCAATCTCTATTCCCTGTCAAAATCCCTATTTTTATTTTCTTATAAGCGAAACTAATTTTTATTAGAAATTTTTCTAAGAATCCTTGTTGCTTTAATTTCAGTTAATGTTCGTGAGTGTTCTTTTTAATTGTATTTAGTGAAGTCTAGATTTTGTTTTTGTACCTGGAGCTCATTTTTTATCTATCTGGGCTGGACTTAGTTCGGTTTTAATTGATTAATATTCTGCAATTAATCGTTTTAATTGATGAATGTATGCCTGATCTTAATGGGAAAAAGCATCTGAACATTTGTGGTGGTGGATAGAAGTTTTTAGGTTTTGACTTTTGGATTGGGTAGGTAAAAGTGAGTTTTATACGAAAGTTTAAATTTTTTTTCCTGGAGTCTGATTTTCTTCTTCAATTCCTTTAATATTTCTTTCTATTCTCCCTTACTTTTACGTTTTTGGCGCATTGCCCTAATTATCTGTGGATGTGGAAACCCTGCTTGTTACCATCATAAGTAAATTAAATTCAGTTTTAACTTATTTTCCATTTTGGTTTATAGCGGAGATTTACTAATATTTATCTAGTAGTATTTATCATCTAATCGAATGATATTTATGTTTTTGAAGCCGAGCATGAGTAATGACGAAAAAACTTGTCCTCTCTGTGCCGAGGAGATGGATTTGACTGATCAGCAGCTGAAACCTTGCAAGTGTGGTTATGAGGTTTTCAACTGTTTCTCTTTCATGGCATTCATTGTTTTTAAATTGCCAGAAATTTATATGTCATGTATTCCAAAGAGTTTTTTGATATTATGGAGCAATGCCACGTGGAGGTAGAAGGCCCACTGGTCGGGAACTTTTTTTCAGTGAAGATCCTCATTGATCATTATATTATTGGTTTTTTGGAATCGTTTGGAATTTTATTCTATGCCAATGATGCATTAGCAAGTGGTAAACCTATTAAAATGCTTAACTACTTTTCAGGTTCACCTTCCTTGTTAGATTTAGCCTACAGATATAGACTCATCAGGCCTTGTAATTAATATGTTATCCAGTTTGAAATCAAATTAGGATTTTCATGATCTCATACTGATCGATGAAAAGAAAAATAGAAGAGAGTGCTCATTGACCATTATATTATTGTTTTCTTGGAGTTGTTCGGAATTTGGTATTCCAGGCCAATGATGCATTAGCAAGCGGTAAAACATTAAAATGCCTGTTAACTACAGGCGAGGTTCACCTACCTTATTATATTTAGCCTGTAAAAATGGACTTACCAGACCTTGAAATTACAGTATTATCCAGGTTCAAATCAAATTAACATTTTCATGATCTCGTACTGATCGATGCAAAGAAGATAGAAGAGAATGCTCAGTGCTGTGATCTTTTTGTTGTTGGCAGTGTGTTTTGGTGGGGGAACAGTCTTTTCTCTATTCACTGTTTGCATCTTTAGATTATTTTTGTTAATACAATCAAATTTCAGCTTGACACGGATTGTCTATGAATTATTAACATTGAACTTTAAGTAGAGTAAGGATGGAATGTGTCAGCCAATGCCCTCACACTGCAATACCCACGCCACAAATACTGTGAATGTTGCATGCATGTGATCACCATGAGGCCAATGATGGGTTACTTTGCTTATCTGAAAACACCAATACCTTTGCACCCTCAATTAAATCCAGCTCTACCACCAGTGGACCTCCATAGAAACACAGCTTTTAAAGAGCTTGTAGTTTGGATTTAATGTTAGCTCAAGCTCAGCTTGATAGCCAGGGATGATTTATGTGAAGATTTAGATGAAATGTTGAGATAAAAAGATGCATTCATGCCTTGATAGTGTATCTAACTAATTTAATAAGTCATTAGTTTCTTGTTAAACATTATTAAAAATATTCTTGTTGATTGACATTGGGTTTCTGGAATATTAATTAAATTTCAGATATTCTTGCTTAGATGGAGTTAGAAGTAAAATAAAGTGACTTCTGATCTGAATTGCACTTGATTGCTGAAGGGTCACCAAAACTTTTGTATGGAATCTATGGCTGACAAGGTTTTGCATGCGCCTCATCTACTAGGAAAAATTATCTACCTCTTTGTTAGTAGTTTATGGAATGTAGACATTCATCATTATTTCCCATCGATTTCTTTTTTCTATTGGGGGTGAGTGGTGGCGGTTTGCTGAGAGGAACTGGTTGGGGGTAAAAACTGCCAATTTACCTGAGAGCCTGCCGATGTGGAGGAAAAAAAATGTTTTCATAATTGACATCTCATCCCTGCATTGATACTAGATAACAAGTGAACTTTTGTGCCTAAAACAACCCAATTTACTAGCAAATCTTCAATCTCAAACGATGAAGTGGCAGATGGTTATGGATTTTTTTAGGCACTTCATCATAAGTACAAATTACCATCAACTGACTACCAAGGTTAATTTGCAATTTCTTGAATAAACCGGTTACTGTTTTATTTGTTTATTTATTTTTCCTTCGGTGCTTATCTGGAAATACACTTGGTTTGACATTTTTCTAGATTTGTATTTGGTGCTGGCATCACATTATGGATATTGCTGAGAAAAATGAGACGGAAGGACGGTGTCCAGCATGTCGCGCTCCTTATAACAAGGAAAAGATCGTTGGAATGGGAGCAAAGTGTGAAAGGTAATTAGCATTGGGTTGTTAACTGAAATTCTATATATCAGCTTGCTCCCTTTGACAAAAGTATAGTATGTTTTTCCAGTTAACATCATGAACTACTTGATCATTGTAAAAGTATAGTATGTTTTTCCAATTAACATCATGAACTTCTTGATCATTGTAACAGGTTGGTTTCAGATATGAATATAGAGAAAAAGCTGAAATCACAAAAGGGAAAGAGCAAAACATCTGAAGGGCGGAAGCAACTTAGCAGTGTACGAGTGATCCAAAGGAATCTTGTTTACATTGTGGGGTTGCCTCTTAATCTAGCAGATGAGGATGTATGTATCCCTTCTCTTTGATCTTCCCTTCGATCTTCCTTTCCTCCCCATCTCTTCTTGGTATCTTTTATACTATTTTCTTGAAGCAGCTTCTCCAAGGCAAAGAATATTTTGGTCAGTATGGAAAGGTGCTGAAGGTATCTCTGTCACGGACATCTGCCGGTGCTATACAACATTTTGCACATAGTACATGCAGCGTGTAAGTTCCTATATGCCACTCCTCGTGCTAATAATATTAAAGTGCCTTAGTTTAAATTTAAATGTTTGTGGTGTTAACAACTCCTGTAGGCATTGAAGTTTCCAGAAGTAATTATTCTTTTCCAAGGACTAGTATGTATCTTCAAGTTGTGCTTAAATTTCCTAATTTGTTTGCAATTTGGATCGGCTTTCGCTGGTCTTGGAGCTTCCCTGCTGGATCAGTGAGACATACGATTGTCAAATATTGAGTTGCAATCGAATGGACATTGTGTTTCCTATTTTTAGTATATACAGGTGCTAAAAATGGAACTTTAACCCATTTAATTCACTTATTGAACAACGAACATTTTTGATATTTTTATGGTGAGTTCAATTTTAAACATCGGTGATTAGAATTACTTTGAGGACACATCTTTTTTCATCATTCCTGTGTCAAGTATCTTGCACTAGGTTTTTGATCTATTTACTGAAGTTCATATATGGTAATATCTTGTGCATATAGAATATATGTTGCTTGGCTAATGAGTCGTGAATTATTTTGAATTTATTTTGTAGGCTTGCCATTTATTTGTTTACAATTGTTTGTTTGGACTAGATATATTACTTATTCGAAGGAAGAGGAAGCAGTTCGGTGTATCCAGTCAGTACATGGATTTGTTTTGGAGGGTAGCTCTTTAAAGTGAGTGGAAACTTTTGTGCATTATGATTTCTTTTTTGATTTACTGGATAGTTGTTTGAAACTCAACGTTGCAGGGCTTGCTTTGGCACAACTAAATACTGTCATGCGTGGCTGAGAAATGTGGTATGGTCTCTGAATGAATTCTAATGAAATTATGGGCAAAGAATTGCTTACTGGTTATTGCTCTTTCATACTACCCATAAACTCAAATATTTATCTGTAGTTGTAGCATGTTGATTTATTTGTAGTATATCCTAAATTAGAATTACCTTTTTGTTCAGCCCTGCATCAACCCAGATTGTCTATATTTGCATGAGATTGGTTCACAAGAAGATAGTTTTACTAAGGACGAAATATTATCGGCGTACACAAGGTAACACGATCTCCTTCCAGATTTATCGTGCGACTTGTGTGAGGATTCATGTATTGTAGAGTTCTTGTTATCTTAGTGATGCAATTAGAAAAGATTTTACTTAATATAATTTCCAATTTTAAGGCTTATGTTAGGAAACATAATCGTGTTTGATTTAATAGCTTTTATTATATATTTATTACTTGGAATAGAAACTTTCAAACTCTTTATGAAGGGGGCTTTTGCATTGTAATAAAACAAGCTTTAATATATGAAATAAACTGATTTCTCCCCCAATTTCTATCTTCCTCTTCTCTCTTTTCCCTCTCCTTTCTCTTCTTCCCTTCCCTTCCCCTTCTATAATTCCCCTATTGCATCTTGCGTCACATAGTAGACTGGATGTGACCTCATCTGTTTGGTATCTCCGAACAATCTCAACTACCATAATCTGAGTTGCTTACTTTTTAAGCTAGAACAGGCTTGTCTCACTTCCTCACCTTCTATTACATATTGGAATCTTTCTGATTTTTTTTTTCAAGAAAGCTAATATTTTCTGGTGCCGTCTTTTGTTTGATTGATTGGTTCATTGCTATATATCTTTTCTCTGTATAAAAGTTTTCTTTTAACAACAAAATTTCTAGTCACAAGTTGCTCACCCTATTGGCCGGTATTTCAGTTAGTGTTGTTTGACTGTTTGCATCCTGATCATTGGTGATGAAACTAGGAAATGTTTCATATATCTGATGCATATTTTTTGTACTTGGAAACAGCTGTTGATTTTTTAGTACTTGCCTAGCTCTTCAAAATAATGCTCTGCAGATTTTAATTAGGTAGCTAGCCTTTATAATTATCAAAGCCTTTTTGCAAATCAATCTAGTGGACTTTAGTTTTTGTAATTGTGTCATTCTGGATGTTTAAGTTTTTATTTAAGTTATAGTAAAATAGTGGAGTTGGCGGCAACTGGCCTAGTAAATTTTAGTTTTTGTAATTGAGTCATTCTGGATCTTTATGTTTTTATTTAAGTCATATGAAAATAGCAGAGTTGTTTGGAAATTTAAATAATTAACATGATGTTGAATTGTTTTCTCATGGAACCAATCCTTTGTGATCATAATATTTCGGTTTGTGGCACTGGTACACATGAGGGTCTCAAGTGACACGAGTGTAGCAGTATTATGTAAATCAAGATTTGAAGTTTTAACTGAGGCTAATTTTCCTTGTAAAGGCTGAAGTAGTACAATTTTTTATTTAAAAGCACATCTATTTGAAGAAGATGCTGTTACAGCACCTCAGTTTTATGGCGTCTTTGGCCCCACCTGATTTCTTTTCTTCAGGTTTAGATTTTGAAACTGGTGATGATCATATATTCCCGTGTATCCCTATGTTGATCAATCAAAATATTCTAGTTTTTGGTTGAAATTTTTTGTTTCGTCTCCTGTGACTATTCGTCGAATAGTGAATTAACTTAATGATTGCAAAGGAGTAGAGTTCAGCATATCACTGATGCCACGAATAGTATGCAACGCCGTTCGGGAAGTATGTTACCTCCACCAGCAGATGAATACTTCAATAACAGCTCCGCTTCTTCAGGAAAGCCTTCAAAACAAACTGCTACTTGTACAAATGTAAGATTTCTTCTCTCTTTTTTCCCGAACATCTTGTTCTTGTCTTTCTGTTTCCCATGAATATGCTACTTTCAACTCGGGGAACTCTCCAAATCATTTTTGGGATATATCAGTAAAAGTTTTTCATCAAAACATCTCTATTAGCTAACCAACGTGTTTAATAAGTTTGATACTAAATAAGTTGAGGATTACTACATGATTGGCAAAGATTATAATTGTTTATAAGCTGGTCTAACTCTATTTTGTAGGACCCACAACTTTTGCCTATTCTTTAACCACACATTCCTTGGTACCTATTGCTTATTGCACTTTTGCTTGGTTAAGCAAGCACTTAATTTGCATTCGATTTGTGGCTATCCTGATTTGAATGGTGATCACTGCTGAAATACACTGATTTATTCCATGCTAATGAGGTTTCTTACTTGGTTAGCAGAATTCAGTGAGCAGTGTTGGAGCTCCGGCACCCAATAGTGGATCCGCTTCTCTTCCTGCTGGAGCCTTGTGGTATGTCATCAGTTGATATATCTCTTTTAATTATATTCAATACAGTTTCTCATCTTTCAATTGGTTTGACTAGGGGAATTCGCGCTTCCAATTGTCAGCCCACATCCACAAGTATACTGTGTTCCACTGGAACACTTAAGCAGAAACCTGATGGATGCAATGGTCCAGTGACATTTTCTACTTCAGTTGCAAGCCCAAGTCAGGTTTCTACATTGCATAGTGATAGTGGAAAGAAGTTTGATCCCAGTGAAGAAAGCAACACAACTCAACAAAATAGCAATCTGGAAACTGTAGAACCTGTTAAAAATGAATTAAGAACAGATAGCATAAATACTGCTTCTGAGAGTTTTTCCACGTCTACACTTCCTGTTACTTCACCTATAAACAGGCAGCTAGATGGCCAACATATGTCTGAGAATAAGGGTAGATATGCCGGCAATTTACATAATACTACTAAATTATTTGATCTATCCCTAAAGTCTTGTGGACCTGCTTTAGACAAAGATTCCTTTGACGCTGCAGATGGAAACATTGAGAATGTATCTTCTAATATTATGTCAACAAGCATTGCTAGACATAAACAATTGCAGAATGGCTACTCTGAGCACCTTAGAGAACCATTGACTTCTCAGCCGCCTGGAAAATCTGCAAATTCGACTGATGAGGTTTTTGTCGCAGATATTGAGTCAGATCTGAGATCGGGAATGCAGACAGAAGTTCTTCAAATTGACTCAAATGAGATTCTAGCTGATTTGTTATCTTTTGATAGCAAAAGACTCGAGGATCCTGAGGTTGCTGCTAATAGAAGGCATGTACCAGATTTCTCACACTCTTCTGGTCTTTCAGAGCATTCTAATATTCATTTTTCACAGCATAATATTTCGGATGGTGCAATCAGTGTTGACCTGGATGGGAAACTTGTGAATAGAAAAGACAATTTGATAGTTTCAGCTTTGGGCGGTCCTATTATGTCTAATGGACATTCTAATAATCTGATCAATACTTCTGAGTTTGTTAATAATGATAAATATTCTTATTCGTTTCCAAACAAGGATAATGGATTGTTTGTAGGAAGATTTGAAAGGGAAGTAGCCAGTGGAGGCCGTGATGCTGCAGATGATATTAGGGAGAGCAGAATAATATCGAATATCTTGTCACTAGACTTTGACTCATGGGATGAGCCGCTGACTTCACCTCAGAACCTGGCTAAGTTGTTGGGTGAAACGGATAAACAGCAAGGGTCATTCGGAGTGCCAAGTACATTGAAAGTTCAGAGTATCAATCAATCAAGGTTTTCTTTTGCTAGAGAGGAGGAACCCAGGAGACAAGCATCTAACTTTGGACCGTCTATCAATTATGTCGAGCAATCCTTTAAACAGCTCCCTTTTGTACATGATTCCACCACCAAGAACTTCCATCTTGAGAAGTTTGGTAACTCCAATGGTTTCTCAGCATTTAATGGTGTGGAATCAGATATTTTTGCCAGCAGTCATTCTAATTTATCTTCTAACAAGCTTTTAGGTGAGCTATTGTTTATTTTTATTTCTTTCACTTGTTTTTCATTTTCTTTGGATCTTTAGATATTTTCAATACCTTTGTCTTGAAAACTGTCTCCTTGTACATTGACCTCTCTGTAAAGTGAACATTCCATTTGGAATCTTGTTCTCTGGAAATATAGTTGCCATATGATTTAGATTTTGATGGTTATGCTTGTGCACGCTCCCTCCTATTCGTGTTTCCTTTAGCAGCTTTTATCTTGACACTGAATGGGCATATTGATGTTTTGCTGCTGTCAACTCACTGATCAGCCAGCTTTAGAGCTACAAATATAGTTTTTGGTTATTCATTTATTTTGTTATTTAGATTACTTTTGATTTGAGCATTGCTTGACTTCGAATTGTTGGTTTGGAACAGAAAAACACCAGAATAGAGGCAACCTTTTTTTCCCCTTCATATTTTCCTCACGATTCAGTTATTTAATTCCTCCATCTCAAACATTCTTTTCCTTTTGTCTTGAAACAGTTTCAAAACCTCAGGTATGTGCTCCTCCAGGGTTTTCGGTTCCCAGTAGGCCACCACCCCCAGGCTTTACTTATTATGAGAGGGCAGAGCAGATTTCGGACACACACTCTGGTTGGTAAATTTATGCAGAGCACTTTCTTGTTTTTAGGTTTACTTGCATCGGATATTGCGTGATGAATTTGTTCTATATTCTGCAGGAAATCATCATGGACTTGATGCTTCATTGTTTAGGAATCAGTATCAAAAACCACCAAGCGGTCATACAATCGATAATGGAGACATTGAGTTTATGGATCCTGCAATTTTGGCAGTTGGCAAGGGGATGCTGCCAGGTGGTCTGAACAGCCCAAGCTTAGACATGAGATCAAAATTTTCTCCTCAAGTCACATTTGAAGAATCAAGATTGCAATCTTTGATACAAAGATCTCTTCCTTTGCATCAGAACCAGAGATTCGCTGACGTGGAGGGTGGTTTTTCGTCACTTGGGAATGCTTATGGAATTCCTTCTGGGGTTATGGAGCAAAGATTAGTCAACAATCTGTCTCCCTTTTCTCAATCCGCTATCCCTCAGTCCAGAAATGCAATAGCGTCCAATGGTCAATGGGATGGGTGGAATGAGGTGCAGGGTGGAAATAAATTGGGTATGGCAGATCTACTCAGGAATGAGAGATTGAGATATGCTAAACTCTACAGTGGACATGAAAATTCAAAGATCTGCATGCCTAGTTCAGGCGATCTTTATAATGGGACATTTGGGATTTAATTTTATTGAAGAGCCTTATTTTGGGTGGTTGGTAATGTTAGTGGTAAAATAGGAAGATCACGTGTGACCTTGCTGTGCCTGCATCAAGGACTGCATGGCATTTAGATGGACTGATGTCTGACACTTGTATCAAATTAAATCTAACAGAGGGGTTCCAAGAACACTTAAAAGATTTGCATGCCTGATGAAAGTCATAAAAAGGGAGTTCTGATTGGGCTCCTTTCACGTTGGTGAAGGATTAAACTCTTTGTAACAGAGTTGTGATACCTACAGGTATATTCCTGCTCTTTATTTTCTTTTTATATTATAAATGTTATTGATGATGCTGCTTATTATATATCATGGGCAAAGAAAGTTATTTTGTTGTTTCAGAGTTAAGGGTAAAAGAGAAGAATTTTTAAAGCTTCTTTCCCTATTTAGTTTTTCGAAACAAACATCTATAGATGGTGAGTAAACTTGGCAAATTTGAATGTTCCCATAACTGGGTTTTCTTTTCACTTCATCTCTCTTGGAAGGATGAACAAGTCGTCTTGGGAAGGGTCTCATGTCTGATTTCCTCCTTTGAGAAACCCACATCTTGTTTTTTTGATGGAAAAATATGTCATTCATAAGGGCAAAAAGCCTTAGGAAAGGGTACAATGGTGCCTATCAATGAAAATTACATTTTCAATGAAAGAAGGGGCATTGTGCCACCAAAGGATCATATCATCAAGAGAACACGCATGTTGCGCCAAAAAATGGGCTTCTTGATTGCCAAGACGATTGCAGTGACAGAGGCTACAATGAGGGAAGCTTCTGATAAAGTCCTTAATTTCAACTGCCAAAAACCGGATTGATGAGGAGGTTGATTCTGATTTATTGATTTCATCCACAAGGAATAAGCAATCACTCTCCACTAGCAATTGAGATATCCCAAGGTTAAGGCAAAGTTGTAGACCTCTCACAAGTGCCGCAGCTTCAATATGTTCAGGTTCCAATAGGGAATTATCAGGACTACTTGCCGCCAAAATAATTTCCCCTTCGTGGTCACGTAAGATAATTCGAAGTCCAGCTTTATTGAGATCAAAGAATAATGCGCCATAAACATTTAGCTTAACAGCATTTTGAGGTGGTGCTGACCACCTGTATTTGCGGGAGAGCACCCCAGGAGAATGAGCGAGAGGATGGTTAGATTCAGCAGTCAATTTGTTGGCGAGGGCAGTAGCAATTACTTGTGGGAGTGGGAGATTCACCTGATCATGAATCATCTTGTTACGGCGGAACCAGAAGCCTCAAGTAATGAGCAGAAATTTCGAGAGAGCCTCTTTTGAACCATTAGTCAGTATTGCAGTAGCAGCTTGAATGAAGCCTCCATGGAATGTCTTATTCTGTAGTTCTGGAAATTGCGTTATTAAGACTTGATGGACAGAAGGGCAGTAAAGAAGGACATGGCAAATATCTTCCACCTGGTAATCACAGAAGCGACATTGAAGAGCAATGTGAATATTTCTTCGAGCTAGGTTCTGGTTAGAAGGTAAAATTTCCTGGCAAGCTCTCCAGGCAAAGATCTTTACTTTTTGAGGGATCTTGAGCCGCCATATGGTATCCCAAAATTTCTCTCTCAGAAGCATTTGAACACGTGCCACGGTCAGGAGCTAGGCAAGTTCTGAAGAAGTTATATGCGCTACTAACGGAATAAATCCCGGATTTTCATGCTCCCATACCCAGAAATCCTCCTCCCCCAAATGGCTGGGGTATAATTTCAGAATGGCCTCGACAAGTTTTGAGTTGAATAGAGTTCTAAGTTTAGCCAAGTCCCACCATCGTAAATGAGGATCAATCAAAGACGCCACTGGACAATCAGCATGCTGGTAATAATGTTGTTGTAGATTGGCCCTTAGTTCCCTGCTCAAGTCACTTATACCAGGGATCCATTTGTCCTTCAGGATATGGATAGTGGTGCCATTACCGACAATCCATGTTCCTCCCTGTAATAACAGATTCTTAGCCTCCCAAATTCCACGCCAAGTATAAGAAGGGTTTCCACCTATTGATGCCTTTAACACATTGCCATCACGGAAATAACGGGCCGAATATATCTTATGAAGTAGGCTGTCCTTGTGTTGCATAAGCCTGCAGGTTTGTTTGCCAAGCATAGCCATGTTGAAAACCTCGAGCTCTTTGAAGCCCATTCCACCCATGGATTTGGATTTACACATGCTATTCCAGGATTGCCAGTGGATCTTCCTTTCCCCTTTTTTTTGGCCCCACCAGAAACTGGCCATCATCCTTTCGATGTCAGTGCATAACGTAGATGGGAGTTTGAAGCAACTCATAGCATAGGAGGGGATCGCCAAGGCCACTGATTTAAGGAGGACTTCTCCGCCTCCTTGGGAAAACAGGTTATGCTTCCATCCTTGCAGCCGCTGCCAGACTTTGTGCTTTATTTCAGAGAAGGCTCGAGTCTTGGATCTACCCACCATCGGTGGTAATCCAAGATACTTTTCATATTGTTGGACTTGGGGAGCATTCCATAAGGCCATGATAGCTTGCTTTTTATCTGGTGGCACATTAGCACTGAAAACCATAGATGTTTTTTTCCTGTTCAGTTGTTGCCCAGAAGCCTCTTCATATACACTTAGGATAGCTTGTAGACGGGACATGGTTTCTTCCTTGGCTTCACAGAAAATTAAACTATCATCCGCAAAGAGAAGATGATTCACTCTTGGAGCTCTTCGACACACTTGAATACCTGTCAACCTACTGGTTCTCTCCGCTTCATGCATTAGGCTAATTAGTCCTTCAGTGCATAAAAGAAACAGATAAGGAGAGATAGGATCTCCTTGCCTTAAACCCCGGGATGGGACTATGTGACCAGTAGGGCTGCCATTAATAAGAATTGAGAAAGAGGGAGTAGTAACACATTTCATCACTAATTGAATAATCTTTTCGTGGAAGCCTAATTTGTATATAACCGCCTGTAGGAAAGGCCATTCAACTCTGTCATACGCCTTACTCATGTCCAGCTTAAGAGACATGAATCCCTTCTTACCTTTCCGCTTTCTTCGTAAGTAATGGAGCTTTCCTTTAATAAAAGCTGACTGTGTTTCTGAGATTACTGAAGGAAGCACCGTTTTTATTCTGTTAGCCACCACTTTAGAAACCAATTTGTACATGACATTACACTGATAGGCCTGAAGTCCTTGACTTTCTGGGGATTTTCAGTTTTAGGAATGAGTGTCTGATTAATCTAGTATCATAACAGTCTCGTTTCATAGATGTATTCTTTTCATGATGTGGTCATCTTTTCTTAGTTCATTTACTAATTTCCAGGTGAAAGGAGCTTGAAACTAAGGCTCAAAAGTAAAGGCTGCACAAGGGATGTTTTACATGATTAAATCAGCAGGCAATCCTTCGTTTGGAGAGGAGAATCAATCAATTCCATTCTAAGTGGCTATGTATTAACTGTTTTCTTTGCATAGATTATAATGGGCTTCTCGTAGGGCTGTACCAAATAATTGCAGAGCGTTCATGATCTGGACTCGTGGACATAGATGAGTCGAATTACTCCCATCACTTGGTTTTAATGGTCAAATAAATTACTGTCGGGTTTTATGTCAAAGTAGTGTGTGCAATAAACAAAAAGTTTTTAACTTCTTGATATTCATGAATCTTGTTGAGTATTGTTTAGTTTTACATATCAAATATGCTGTAAAAAGCATGTGAACTTATATGCAAATATGTCATAATCCTAAATCTTGAAAAGATGAGCCTCATTATGGAAGAGGATGATGAGGATGCTAGTATGGGGGACCCTAATGCCTCTAGAGGAAACAGACACCCATGCTTTCAAATCTAGTTGTTGTAAATTTAATTCGGGATCTATTTGCACATCTTCCAAAGGTTTGGGATGTCCCATGGAAAATTGCCAAATATATATTGACACTTGTTTAAAAAGTTGATCATTTAATCATTGACATAGCAATTAAGTTAAATTTAAAAAATTGATACCACCAAGAACCCGACTTTGATGATGACAAGTGAGATTATTAGTGGCAGTTTGAGCAAGTTAAAATTTCAAACTTTTTCAAAAAGAATATTTAGAAAAGTACTTTGTATTTTCCGTTTGGCAAAAAGATTGTTGACTCTGATGACAAGTCATCTTTTGCATGGGTAAACCCATTTAGCCAGGGTGAAAAACAGGGAAGTGAGAGACAGACTGATTTGTCAGAAAATGATTGACTGTTTTGGTTTTAAATTTCAAACTGTCCAATTAGGTTTGAACATGTGTCCTACCTGAATTTGAGCTTGTATGTGGACCTGGATTTGTAGCATGATTATAAAGAGAGACACGTCCTCACTCTTAATATATACTCTTGGAACCAATGCAAACCTTGAAGCATAAACTGGTCAAACATTTGGAACATGGAGATTTCTATGAAGTTGAGACATTTTATTAATTAAACAATCGTTTATCGGTATACTAACCAATTTTTAAATTATATCCTTTTTATTTTATAATTTTTAGTTTGGTACCTTTTTTTTTTTTTTTTTACATTTTTAGAAAATGGGAAGATTCTAAGATGCAGTGTATTGTTGTGTTAGAAAAAGGGTCCTTGTGTTCTCATTTGTTGAGAGTTCATGTGTCAATGTGTCAAAAGTGTAATGGAGTGAAGCAACGGGACAACAAATTCGAAACAGTACAAGGAAGACTCGCAATCAACTCCCATTCCCATCACCATATTAATGCAAACGAAAGTGCATGTTTCACCAAGCTTCAAATATTTACTTATTAAGTTCTAAAATAAATAATTCTTTCAGATGGCAAAACTTGAAATAGGTAAAAGTATTAATCACGAGTAACAGCAAGAAAGGTTGAAATTCGAAAGAAAATGGGCCCCAATTTCTTGGCCCTTGGCATGAATTTCTTGATTATAATGAAGCCAAGTTTTTTATTGTTTATATCAATATGTATTCGAGCCTATTTGTAAACACAGACATTTTGAAAAAGTAGTTCCGAG